TATATATATATAGACATGCGTAGTTCATATGTTGGACCCCGATTCAAAAGACATCTTGGGGTGCCAGTGCCATCGAACCTCTAAAACCGCTGTACCTGCTATTCTATATATGCCACATTCTGCAAAGAATAAGAAGTTTGGCTAAACAAATCCCAGGTTCTGACATTGTGGCCTGGCCTCTGGCCTAGCATGAAGAAAAGGGCTGTCCCGACAAAAATGACCATACACATGGTGCAGAACCAAACACGAGCCACATCATGCCATATCCCTTCAGTGTTCTTTTGAATTATATATGAGTCACAAGGATAGTGGATAGTGGATGATGGTGACGATGATATTTGTAGATGCATTTGTTTTCAAAAAAAAAGCTGACTACACTGACTCTTACAGACTCTTACTGACTCTATGCATTTGCTGATACTCTTTGACTTACTGGTTTACCGCACCCACCACTCCACATACTTTCGCCTGTCTCCGGATCTACGGCTGCTGCATAGGTGGCGGCTTTCAGCAAACGCACGGCCTGGCAACTACCGCACGGACGGTCACGGTCTCCGACCGACCGTTCACGGCTCCTCCCCGTGACTGGCCTCCGTTGGTCGGTACCGAAGCGCTTCGGTTCGGTGGGACGACCGGGGCCCCGGGTGGTTTTGGAGGGTCTAGGTACCGAACTTGAGGAGGTACTTCGAGGCCTAGCGATCTTGGATTTGATCTTCCCCAGAAGGAGGATGCACCCATGGCCCATGACGCTTGATGGGACGCTTGATGGGACTGCCAATTGGGGTGGTTTGGAGGGTCTTTTGGGGCGGCTTTTTGATTCCAGTCCCATGGAGTGTATACGGACAATACCGTTCCTAGGGCTCAGACTTCGTACCTCCTCAGGTTCGGTAGCTCCTGGACCTCCTGGCACCCAGCCCAGCCCAAAAGTCCCCGTTGTCCCACCGAAGCGAAACGAAGGTACAACTGGAGCCCTAGGGAACAGAGGTTAAGTGACCTGAACTAGGACACTACGGTTCGGTACCTATGGGATAGCCGAGTTCGGGTCTTTCAACCTCTGGAGCCCTAGGGAACATCCGATCCTCAAAACCCATTTTAACATGGTGAGACCCAATCATTGAAGGCCATGGGAAAGATCACCGGCTGGCTGCGGAAGACAGCGGCCACTGCATGGAAGCAGGAAACACCACCAAAGAGGTAGACCATACTTGCATACATGGAGCACCTGGCTAACATCCCTTCATTCAACTGGTGAAGAAAGTTGTTGAAAGCATGTTGTGAACCCACCTAAAAAAGAAGACGAACTTGGAGAAGTTCGGGCGGATGAGTTTGGCGCCTCGTTCACATCTGATGCCAGCACAGACTCTCGTAGTTCCATCTTGGCCTCAAACATGTCACAGGTTTGTGTGTAATGGCTAACACAACATATGATTGGTCTAAATATGTCTAAATGCTTCACTTCCATAGCCCTCAAAGGCCATCAAAGCAAGGTTGACAGTTTGACTGGCCCGTCTGGAATCCTAGAGAAATAATTGTTCGGTACAGCCCATGAATCAAATTTGATGGTGTGTGGAATCCAGGCGTTTTGGTAGGTCAAGCATAGGTCTGACACACTCTAAAAGCGCATGGCCACTGCATGTATGGAATCTATGGCTACATTGACCCCCCAAACCACCCCAATGTAGTTATGTAGTATAGGCCATATACATGCATGTTTTGGGACTATGGCAAACATGACGGCCAATCTGGCAGGTCACCACCGTCGCGAGAACGTCTCGAACGGGTCGCGAAGGCTTGAACCGGGGCACCAAAGACTCAGAGATCCGGATGAGGGACTCCAGGATCCGTGGAGTGGCCGTGATCCTCAGACACCCGTGGCGGGCGACGTGGAGGGCGACGTCCCGAGAAATCCGACGGTGGACCCGACTGACGGTGTTGGTACCTGGACCCGACTGACCCAGTAGCCTAGAACATGGGACATGACCCCATAAAATCAGGAACCTGGTTCCCCCAGGTATGTGTTGGTGGTATTTTTCGGAGGGGGTGTTTCCCCTCTGCATCTTAGGAGGCAGGTGCAAGTGTTTTGTTTAATGTTTTCCTAAAGATGAACTCTCGGAGACCGGAAGAGATACAGCCTTTTCGAAAGACCCCCCCCAAACCCAACCACCCCACCGGCCGTTTCTCGCGAGTCATATGATTGATATGGCAGTCCCAAATGGGTCGTGTCTGGGTTATGGTGGAAGCCCAAGTCTAAGCAACTGCTGAGGCAGGCGGAGGGGCGGGAGGGGGAGCGAGCTATGCTGGGATGGAACAAATTCACGAGGAGTTTGTACTGCGAATTGGAGTTCCTCAAGCTCTTTCATGTCTTTCCCTGCACAGAAGCTACAACAGTATACTGCTGAGCACTGCTACAAGAGCCCACAAACAATTGGAATACTTCCACAAAAATGCATTGAAAATACTTCTATACAAGATTCTTGCTTCCCATGTTTGTACCCCAGAAATTTCATGTCTGTCATGTGTGCCGTCCCAGAAAGACCCCAATATGACCACCCCAACTCATCGGTACATATACCAGTCTCATGGGTCGTGTCAGGGTACACTTCTCACGGACTGATGGCGATGCGGCCATGCGCCCAGTCTGAACGTCAGACTACAATCAAGCCAAGACTAGAAAACACACTGCCCAGACGCTCCAAACAGCTCTTGGTACCTCAACACCCTAGGGATTTGAGACCCCAGACCCCTCCATATGAGGGTCCGACCCCTCCATATGAGGGCCCACGAGCGTCTGGGTGCAAAAGATCTTCAGCATCTCATTATTTCAAAGGTCAAACCAAAAACCAAGACCTCCACCCAAACGCACCTCGGATCTAGAGTGTCCTCCTCACCGCTCACGACCCGCGCCGTGGGTGTCTGGAGCACCCAGCCGTGACCCAAAGCCGTGGTCTTTGCACCTCCGCAACATGTACACCCCGGAAGACTAACATGGACCCTGAACACCACTGGTTGGTAGAGGAAAAGGGTCTATGCTAGTTTGAAGGGGAGTGTATCAGTCTCCACTGAAGGCACTTCGGCAGTGCGGCCAAGTGTCACCTCGCGAGAGCCTTGGTTCCGCAAGTCCATGTAACCTCAGCCAGTTCGCAGTGAACACCTGTCAAAGTCTGCACTCGATCCCTATTCCCAGTTCCACTCCATGTATGGAACACCTACATTGACCGCCCAACCCTGCTTTATGTAGGCAAATGTTGTGGCATACATGGAGTGTCTGGGTATAGGTTTTGTGATCCTCATGGCATGTGTTCTGTCCATGGAGTGGAACATTTCCCCCTTAAAAAAAAGAACGGATTCTGATGGGGAGAGTCGATCCAGAACAGGTTCTGGGATATCTCTACTGCAAACACCCTCCCTGCATGGTGTCTGGCGCCAGCCTCCAGAAATGAATTTCAGGGTCTGCGCGATTGCCTTGGAGGGGGGTTCTTTTACAGTGCTGCCCATCAAATTCGAGAAGAACACACGCGGTGTTTTGCACTGCTTCACAATATCTTAACTACCACCGTGGCCTGCTTTCCACTCTAGTTACCTGTCTCAGCCACCAACAGGCCAGGGCGGGTGCGGGTGTCACCCTCTGCTTCGACATAGCTATAGAACCAACTTGTGAGCTCTTATATCCTCTTTTCAGGTATGCTCCTGGATATAAGAGCAAAATAACCTGGATATATGTTTTTTTTAATCCTGCGCTCTTATATCCAGAAGGTGTCGAGCACATTCCAGGATCACTTTTCACCCTCAAATATGCTCGACACATTCCTATCAAAACATTCGGTTCACTCAATGCTACTCATCTGAGCTCCGGATGCCTGTGTGTGTGTTTCTTTTTTCCCGCGATGCCCTTAGCATGGAAACAGTTGGTGAAGCAAACTTTTCACCGAGTGGATTTGAGTGGGGACATACCTTAGACCAGTTTCTGGCCTCTATATTCCACCAGTTCTGTGGAAAAGCAGTATAGCCTAAGACATACCCCAATCGCCCCCAAAAAACTTTTGCACAGACTTGCTGGACAGATTTGATGTGCACCCTCCTGGCCAGGCTGTTTGATCCTAACAGGTGGTTTCTGGGCACCGAACTTGTCACCAGGAAACACCTGTTGGAGGGTCCAGGTATGGAAGATTTATCTACATTGAACTTCCTTTCACAATGAAGTGACTGGATTCATCTGGATTCTCTCTATTCCCTCCGCCCTGCGCGCCACGCGGCTGGCGCTCAGGACCTCCGCCGCCTCGTCGGAGATGGTGGGGAAGACCCACTGCCGAGCAAAGGACACCTCGAGGCGCCCGATGGGTACGTTTTGGAGGTCGCTTGGGGGAAACAGAATCCAAAAACACACTAACCTCTTTCTTCCCGCCAACGAGAAATTCACCCGAGGAGCCGGGGGGGAAGCCCAAAAAATGCCTTCCCAAAAGTCGGAGAAACTTTTCAGCTGCTCAAGTCCAGCATCCACTCTCTGACCCTTCTACCCACTTGGGAGATGATGGGACTGAAGGCCTTTTTCGATCCGTCCGATGACGGAGTGTCTGGGTATGTTCCAGCTATGTTCTAAGTGCAGAACCTCTCTTCTTCACTGAATGGAGTCAGGGGGAGCGGGACTTTGAACGCATTTTTAGATATGTTCATCATATACCAGGACCTTCAGTCAGTGACCTCTTTGAAGTCTGTAAGTGACTCTTGTTAATGGACTAAGTGATCTCAAACTGGGATCTCAAAAGGTCACTTTGAAGGTCCTGGTATATCATATATAGCTATCATAAAACTGACTAAGGAATGAGGGTTAGGATAGGATCTATATATACCAGGACCCTCCAACAGGTCTCCGGTTGGTCCATCAACCTCCAGATCCTTGGGCGCCGCGAAGGAGCTCTTTTCCGGGCCGGGCCACATAGCGCCGGAAGGTCTCCGCATCCACCTGCCGTGGTCACGGATCGATCGACCCTGAATTCGACAGTCCCCTAGGGCTCCTGGCCCACCTCCTAAGGTTCGGTGGTTGGGGTGGGTGCCAGGGGGGTCTAACCACCTGAGGAGATGGGCCAGGAGCCTATAAGGGGTCGGTCCTGGGAACGGCCCCAGTTCGGTCCGTTTTTGGGGTTCGGGTCACGTCCCATGTGCCGCCAGGGCTTAGGGTACCGCATCCCAGGCAGTTCCCACGAGTACTAAGGAAGCAGGGATGCGTTCGGTCGGTCTATGGTTTGAGTCGAAGTGGAACCACTGGGACTCCCAGCGACATCGTGGTTTGCCTGTATGCCCTGGGGTACTTTGGAGGGTACTTTGGTACCCCTTGAAATCCACCTCTGGCCGGATCGGAGTGTCCGGACTGGACCTGCAATGCTGCGGGGATGTCGGGAATGGATGCGTTGCTCCTTTCACTCCTCCAATCTAGTGCGCCAGATCAACAGATTTAACCCACATTGGAGCTGTCTTAGTCCTTCGCTGAAACGAAGGACAGGTGACAGACCGACCGACCGCTGACGGGTGGAAGAAGCCTGGTGGTCCAAGTCCCAAACATGACCCGTCTCGGACTGCCATTGCCTACATTGACCTCCAGTCAACCACCAACTGATCGGCAGTCCTATGGCATACATATGCAGTCCCAAACAGGTCGTGTCTGGGAGTGGACAAAAACCTTCCAGAAATGGTGGAGATCTCACCTCTCACCAGTTCCATGGAGGGCCCCTCTCCATGGAGTTGGCTCAAACATCCCATGATCGAATGACATGGAAAACCGACCCCATCACCTTCAGTCAGTGACCTCTTTTGGAGTAAGTGACCTCTTGATGGACTAAGTGACCTCAAACCTGAGTGATCTCAGGTTCGGTCACGAACTGAAGGTCCTGGCTGTTGGAGTTGATCAGACCAGTCCACACCACTTGAGACATGAGGCCTTTGATCCTGGGACCGTTTGGACCGATGCGTCAGACTGGGCTTGCCATCCTGCCAGGTCACACACAGCTTCGTGATCGACTTCAATTCTTCTCCCAGGTCACGATGAGGTCACTGAAAACACTGAGTGACCCGAGCTGGTTCATTGGAAAAAAACCCAGGGATCCAAGTACCTTCTCAGCTACGGTGAGGACGGAGACTATTTATGTAAGCTTGGAGGGCCCAGTCGTACCTCCTGAGGTTCGGTATGTGGATCCCTGGGGAAAGAAGGTTCACCTTTTTGTCATCTGTTCATATTCCCAGTGCATCCCAGGCAGTTCCCACGAGTACTAAGGAACCAGGGATTGGTTCGGTCTATGGTTTGAGTCGAAGTGGAACCACTGGGACTCCCAGCGAACTAGTGGTAACTGGATGCCCTGGGATTTAGTGGAAAACAATAATCCAAAAAAAGGTTATGTAAATGTATAAAGGTTATGCACTGACTGGGTACCAAGAGGCTTCAAAGTTTGGTGACGAACTGAAGGAGCTGGCTGCTTTACTCTTGAGGTCATTTTGTGCAAGCGCTCCTCGATCGAACATCGTACCATTTACACACTTGCGAAACTGGTGGCTTCTGGGGCGAAAACGTGCCTTGCCTGCTTGACAGTAAAAAGTGCCATGACAGTTATGAAAGCAATCAGAACACACACACACACACACACAACGCCCGTCTCCTTGGCATCTCCTTCACCCCAATCTTCAGCTGGTTTCCCCCCCCCAAAGAAACCCACCGACCATCACCTTCCGAACCCATCCCCCGAACCCGAACCGCCTGCCCCGAACCCAAACCGGTCTGTTTCTTCCGGCGCCGGCGCGGCCTCGGGCTCCACTTGTTTCTTCTCACCCTCCGAGTACATGGACAACAAATGCATCGCCAGCCTAAGGAGACCCGCACGTTGCGGAACGCCGGGGACCGTCTGTCTCCCGCCCCTAAAAAAGTGTGTCGCCGAGGGGTGGTTCGCAGGAGGAAAACGCTTGGAGGCTTGGAGAGATATTTCGAGACATATTCGGGATGTTCGATCAAAACAAGGTCTAGCTCAAGAAGTCACTTCCAATCAAGAAGTCTTGATCCCAACTGTGGAAGCTAGATGTGGGATAACACGCCTAAACGTCCTAAACCGCCCGACACCGGCGGCGCTCCGTCCCCGTCACACTCCACCGGTCCTCGCATCAATCCCTCTAGCAGAATCCTCACCTCGGTCCCAGCTCTCTCCTCACGGCAGGGAGGGGTGGGCCTTAACACGACCTGGCAGGGAGGCTCCTGGCTTGCCAGGGTACTGGGTAGGGAGTGATTCCAGTCAGGGTACTGGAGTTATCTATACTGTACATCGTGACTTGCCAGGGTACTGGAGTTATTCCTTGCCAGGGTACTGAGAGTTCTTCCAGCCAGGAGATTCCCTCGGGATCTTCGCGGATGATCCAAACTCCTCCACCCGCCCAGGCGCCGATGATCGTTGTCGCGGTGCCGCTTATCCAGCATCAGCCAGATCAAGTCGAATCTCGTCATAAGGTTCTTCCTGAGACCCAGTTCTTCCAGTTCAGTGCTACACACACAGCCTCTCTCCTACCCTACCAGTCAGTGCATACATCGCTCTCAGAACTCCAAACCAGGCTTCTACCCCTGTGGTTTGAGGAGAATTCATATACTTCAAAAGAACGCACCAGTCCGGTTCCCCATGCACTGGTTGTTTCATCCTACAATGGCGTCACGTGTCCATGCCATGTCGTCACTGACGTCATCCGTCCAGAACCGGTTCCGGAGGACGAACGCTGGGAGGACGTCATGCCGCCGAACGCCACGTCCATGTCTTGGATTTGCTGGTCCAGGAACCTGGATTGATTTGTTAGATTCACAGTTCTCTTTTGACCAAGACACCCATGGCCCAACGGGCCCAAAACACTGGCCGCCATTCAGCCTTCATGGACTGCTGATGCCTTTTCTATCCTTTTTGGCCTTTCCACGAAAAAAGTCCAGGTGAAGCTTTTCCCACCTGTCCCTTTGGTTCGATCTTCCCCCATCCCAAACCATGCATGGGACCCAAAACCCAATTGACCCATCCATGGTGCCCGAGCTACTCGCCACTGGCGTCGCATGACCGTCTGTCCGCGCGCTCACGCGCGGCACGGGGGTGTCAGGCCACGCGGGCTGCCCTGGCTGCGGTCAAAGGCTCGGCAATTTGATGTTCTCCACCACCTTTGGTGCAGGGCACGGCGCGTATTCGTGCGCGAATGGGGGCGAAAGGGTTTGGAGATGTCCCTCAGTGCATCCCAGACGAACGAGTACCAAGGAACCAGGGATTCGAGGTCGGTCTATGGTATAATCTTTGGAACCACTGGTTACCAGCGACATCGTGGTTTGCCTGGATGCCCTGGGTTTTATAGGCGGCCATTGGTTGGAACATGTTTGGACACAAATATTATCAGGCATGTGTCGATTATAGGAAATACAACTTGGGATCTGAAAAACAAGCCGGCGGAAATTGCTGGTCTGTCTTCTGGAAGGTTTGTGGGAGATACGGGAAACCTGCCAAACAGGATAAAACTGGATGTAAGGCCTTCCAACCTCGTCGACAGCAAAGCTGGGTTTTGCAGGGTTCCAGTTCCACTATATACTTTAAGGAACAAGGGTTTCTAGATGCTTCTAGGTCATCACTGGTTGCCAGCTGTGCTAAGTGGATCCGCTGGGTAATTCATCTCAAACTTGTTGTGTTTACAGTAGTTGTCCACATCAAATCAGTTGTCCAATCTGGAGAAGGACCACCATGGAAAAACCCTATACACATTTGAGAAACTCTCCGGTTTCTCCAGGTCTCTTCTCAGGGCTTTCTTTTGATCCCTTTCAATCATCATAATGAGTCTCTATGTCTCTCTCAGAAGCGCGCAACTGCACCGCGAAGTGTTCGCCGTACTCCGCTCTCCGAGCCGCCGAGAGCTTGGGATTGTAGCAGGAGTCCGCCGGATTGGCGGAGGCTAAAATGGCGGTGCGCGCGTTCAAGGAGCACACGATGCCAGCCTTCCTCGCCGAGGACCGGTCTGGGACGGAGTTGAGGCAGCAGAAGATGCTTCGGAGATGAGGTCGACTAGTGCATGGAGATGTCGCTGGATGGGATTGGAAGAGTAGGGAAGAATGGATCTCTGATGATCTCTGCATTAGGGAATTGGACCTCCGAAGGCTGTTTAGAGTTGTGTAGAAGGGCCCCCAAGCAGAAACCTTTGGTGCTGGATCCTTTGTTCAGAGGTTGGATACCCGTCAAGCGTCAACCGCTTGGATCACTTAGCAAATCGGAAAACACGTTGGCTCCTGTTTCTCTCCTGCTGTTATAACTACAAACTATCGATCTTAACTTCTAAGCTTGGCTGTACCCATAGATCAGTAAAAAAACAAGTCTCCCAGCCATGTGCCCCAGTTTGCCTCTTAACCAGCTATGTAGTCTTAGATGCCAGAAACATGCCAAATGGTGGAAACAAAAACCACGCAGTCTAGTCTTCAAGAGGGTGCTCAAATCGTCCTTCTGGTGCCCCGAACATGTGACCTTTCCCCACCAAACCCATCTGGAATTCTAAGAAAACACGCCCCACGCCACGCACCAAAAAAAAAAAGGACTCGCCACACACGTCGCCACACACACACGTCACAGCGTCGCTCAGGAGCGATCGAACCGATCTCCCGATCCGATCGGTTCCCGCTATCCAAGCGTCGCCACGCTCACGGTCTGCTGCTCCATCACTTCCTGGCCACGACCGACCATCTACACGACCGACCATCATCGACGACCGCACGCTATAGGTGGCCTGGCTGACCTGTCTGGGTGGAAAAAGGCAGCAAATGTACCAACAAAAAGCAACCAAATGGATGAAATGGGACTGGAAGAACTACGTGCATTTAGTCCCATGACAATGACACTATTGATGTAAGTCGCTATTCTAGTCCCATGGATGGTCTGGGTTAGTTAAAACTTATATAACTGCGCCAGTCCCGTCGATGGGAGAGCTCCGCACACTTAGCCTTAAAGGCTCACTTGTCTCAACATGGGGTCGCCCCCCCCCACCCCCGAACTACCTCCCAT